TGGGGAAGTATTTATGGATGAGCTGAAAATGAAACGTTACGCATCAGGTAGCACCAACGACAGAGCCGGAGGAAAAGAAGAATTTTCGTCACGCAAAGTCAAAGTTAAAAGAGAAAAAATAAATAAATTATTCAAATTCATTTTGGGGAAAGAAAGAAAAAAAAAAATTAATTTAAATCGAAGAAAAAGCCCAGTCGCTGACATGCACACAGCAAATGCTTACTTATAAAAATATATTTTCATGCCTTTTTCTCGTTGAATTATTGTATTCACTTTTGCTTTGTTGGTTTAAATTTAAGCGAGCAGTTAATAATTTCACGCCAAGCGGCAACGATGCCGCGCCTAACCCCAACCAACGAACTGAAACCGCGGCTATCATCAGTCGCCAGCCGCGAGCCGCCAGCCGCTGATCACACCAGTTACTGAGCTGACTAACGCACCCGCGCATCGACGCAGCTTCACACCTTGGCGATTGGTCGCACACCGTTTATCTGCGCTGGTTAACTGCTGCAGATACATACATACTCGTACATACACATGGATAAACATTTCTCCATTGGACAGTAAGTAATAGTCGTGGAAGTCGCCAAAATGCTGCCGTATAGAATTTCATTGCTTGACCGCATTTCGCTGGCGGCTTGTGCCATACCACAGATATACTCGCATATATACATATGTACATATGTACGTACAAACGTAAGCTAAGAAGGCTTGGCAGTGGTGCCAGGCAAATGTCTGTTGGTTACGCTCGCGTTACTGCGAATCAAACTTCGGTTTGAGTATATTTGTATGTATGTATGTGAGTATTTGTGTGTAGGTGGCAGCAATATATATTTCCACATTTTTCTTCAAATAATTTCTGTTGACTTTTCAGTGAAATGCAGAGAAATTCACTGTTGAATATTTGGTTCTTTAAGGAAATACCAAGAGGGGCTTGACTCACCAACGGTCGCCAACGGTCACCAACGGTGGCAATAAAATTCAGTGAATGACGTTGAGAATTTGCTGCGAAGTGCATTGTTGTTGTAAAGCGATTTGTTATACCTTTTTAATTCACTCGCGCTTCCTCAGAATGCGCATTCTTCGTGAACTCTGACGCTTAGAGCTGCATGTACATACATATATACATAAATTTATATAACTAAATATGAGAATATAAAGGGTTTCTCAATAAGAAGTATTATTTTGAATAATCTGCTGCTCAGGTAGACGCCCTTTTTTGCAGCCTGTTCTGTAGCCCACACTGTTGAAGAGAGCCCAGTTTTGCGAATTCCTCGTAGTTCTTTGGAACTGAGTATTCCACAAGCGTCTTTACACCATACTTTGCATAAGGAACTCGACTTCTGGGCTTGTAAAGTTCAGCTAACACACGAACTCAAGCCGACGGATGATAAAAAGTTGGTACCTCTGCTGATAGCGTCCTTCAAATGCATGAAAATTATCCTGAATTTCATCGATAAATCATCTTGACCGATGAGGACCATAAACAGCGCGATGGCTATGTCAGTGAGCAAGACTATCGCATCTGGTGCTCAGAAAACCCTAGACATATTGTTGAAAGCCTCTCTATCCTCAACTGTTTGTTACGATTTCTGGCCCACAGGGATCATTGCGCTACCTAGATATGATTAATGATTTTTTTTCTCCGGATGATATTGATTTGGACAACGTTCACTTTCAGCAAGACAGCGCTACGTGTCACACAAGTAACGAAACCATCGATCTTTTAATGCCCAAAATCCCCGGACCGTGCTATCTCTCGAAGATGTAGTCGAATTAGCAACCAAGATCTTGTGATTTAACATCTTGTGACTTCTTCCTTTGGGGTCACTTGAAAGGTAAAGTTTACGGCGACAGTACAACGTCCAACGTCGATTCAACACCTCGTGAGGGCTTACAGCAGCCACTTTGCGATTTGGTGATGGAGAACTTCATAAAGAGAATGCGGTTCAGTAAGAGTAGTCGTAGCGACCATTGGCCTGATATTGTTTTCCATCGCTAATGGTATATCTTTCACCTTACATTGTGTTAAACATTCAACCATTTATCTCCAAAAATTTAATATCAATACAACAACTCTTATTTGGAAACCCTGCAGACGTGTGATTTTCAATGAAACAATATTTTTTACAGAGTTCGTCACAGAGGTCTGCGGAACAACGTTCCTTGGGTTTTGGTTTGGATACGTTAATAAACAAAAGTGTCGCATTTGAAGTGAGACACCGATACAACCGCAAAAAGACATTGTTTGCTGTGGCGCTATGTTTGGTCAGAGGACATCATTGATTTACATTTCTTCAAAACTGAAGCCGGCGTCCATAATGCTACAGTCAATGGGAAACGCTATAGAGCCTATATTAATAACTTTTATCGTGCTGGAATTGGAGGATGTTGGTGTAGATGACCTTTGGCTTCGATCAAATAGATTCCATAGAGTTCACTTGCAGCATGAAGAAATTGTAGGCCAGCTGATTTATACTCTCCAGAAAGTGTCTGCATAAATTGGTCGTCTATTTACCACAGAACGCTTGCCGGGCCAAAACCGAAAACAACTCAAGAGTTAGTAGAGTCTTTTAACAAAACCACATTTTGGAGTTACCTTTAGGGCCATGGAAGACCGCCCTCACTGTATAAAGAGAAGTTTTTCATTTGGGGGAGTCATGAAAACGTGTTAAACAGAAGACTTAGATAAAAAATTATTTTACATTCATACATATTGACGGCAAGGCAAAATCTATTAGCCGGTTTAGCACTTTCTTTATAGGGAGTTTTGGGAAGAGCGTGTTTTAAGCTCGATTAGAATGTTAACTCGCTATAGTACTCTACAAGACTTAATCGTCAACAATGCGAAATAGAATTCTCTCGAAGAGGAATTGTAAGAGGTGCGTGGAATTGAAAAGATTTTGTTGCCTTAAGCAAAATTTCTGTATCCTTTAAAGAAACTTACTGCAATTGTACAGTTAACCAACGCAATCTTATTGTCTAAGCTTGGGAGGGTAGGAGAGAGAAGATGTTAAGGAGTAGGAAAGGTTCGGAGGTAAATTCCATAGGGAAAATTGAGAGGTGTTGCGGAATGGCCATTCCTCTTTACACACTATAGATTTATTAGTTGGATCTCAGGGGTGAGCTTTGGCTCTTTAACATTTTTGGAGCGAGGGGTGGTCCGTGGAATTCTTTGATCTCCTTGTGAAGGCAAGCATTTAAGCATGCCATAATGCAAGCCGAGTATATGCCACTCACTGATGAGGCCTAGCTGGCGCTGACTTCGGATTTGCGACACCTGCGCCGCTAGGATTTTAGGTCTGCATACGAGTCTACCTGATAGTGAGAAAGCAAATAAAAATAAAACTTTTCATCCTCGATTTCAACAAGGTCTCCATTGAGAGAATTATGGGCTACGACCAATCTATAACTAGCTTCGTTTAGGAAAATACTGACGCTAAAGAAATGTAGCGAACCCAATCCATCATTGGATGCCATGAGAAATTGCGCCGCTCCTTTTGGCGCGCTTGGGTTCAAATCACGGGATGTGCTCCTTTTTGAATTCATCTGTACTCGATGTGACTTGAAAGGATCTATTACATGACTAAGGTTCACGGTGTGTCTTTAAAAGTAATTCTCAGATGGACTTGGGTGTAAAACTTTGCTTCAGCCGTTTTCCGATAGGTGGCTGTACCGGCTGAGGCTGGTTGAAACACATAGATGATAATGCCTTTGAAGTGAGTGTGGACAGTTCCTAACGAATTGTCATCGTCGTTTCAGTGACAGTTGTTCTTGTTTTCATTATTCACGCTCGAAAATGTCCGTTTATGGGCCTAATTTGAGGGAAGTTTTACTTTTCTGTTACAATTCGAAAAAAAAATCTCAGAAACTTACGGTGTGATTTACTACGAGCTCTTAAAACCGGGTGAAACCATCACAGGAGATCGCTACCGAACGCAACTGATGCGCCTTAGTCGTGTGTTAAAAGAAAAGCGGCCACAATATCAAGAGCGACATGACAAAGTCATCATCCAACACGACAATGCTCGGCCTCACGTCGCAAAAGTGGTCAAAAAGTACCTGGAAACGCTGAAATGGGAAGTCTTGCCCCACCCGCCGTATTCCCCAGATGTCGCCCTTTCTGACTTCCACCTATTCCATTCGATGGCACACGGCCTGGCAACATTTTCAATCCTTCGAAGAATTGGAAAAATGGATTGCTTCATGGATAGCGTCAAAAGAGGACTCCTTTTTTCGAGCCGGGATCCGAAAATTGCCCTAAAGATGGGAGAAAGTTGTCGCTAGCGAAGGACAATACTTTGAATAATATATCTGTAAGTACTTTTTCGCCATAAAGCTTTTAATTTTGGAAAAAACGGCGGAAGCAAAGTGGGACACCTGTGCTATACATAAGTATGTCTCCTGCTCAGCTAAACAAATCGCTTTGTGGGATATCTTTCTTCACTAATTTACCTCAATTTTTGCACCTACGTGCAAAATGTTGCAAGCTAAATGTTGAGGAACATTTCAGTAGCCAACAAAACTTACGCGAACACCTGATGCTGCACTCAAGCAACTAATTTTAATAACTCACTCATAGCACAACGTACGATGCGTTCCACATGAATGAAAATCTGGCGGCCGGTCGATGAGTCGCTCTGCCACTGATGCTGACAGATGTTGCTGAGCGCGCAACAAGCATTCTGAGTGTTAGCAACATTTAAGAAACAAAACTCTCTCTCTATCCACAAACCAATTGGAATTTAGCCGAATTTATGCAGTGCACATTTTGCTTTTGGTAATCACAAACTGAGAGTAGCAACAAGCAACCACCAAAACTCAAACAACAAACACAACAAACACACCAAACAACACAACAACCCACCTTCGTGTTTTTCTGATTTGAATTGAGCGCTGGGAGCGCGCACAACACAGCCGAATAACGGCCAACCGCCCAACTACTGTTGGAAGGCAAACAAAATGCACCGCTTGCCTCAGTACAAAAGCAACTCTCGTGACGTAAAGAAGTAAAAACTGCAGACGCTACGGTTTTTTGTTTGTCGTGGATGAATATTAACGTATATTTGAGAGTTTCATATGTTTAGTGTGTGCGTGTGTGTGTGAGCGCGTGCGAATTTAAGTTGCCGGTAGAACGAAACGAAGCGTAATTGTTCCGGTGATGGTAGATGATAGAAGGAAGTAGTGGCGAAACGAAAACGACGAGACGACGAGCGAACGTTTGTTTTGCAACGAGTAATGTGCGACGCGTTCGAGCGAGTGCCGGAATCGGAAGTAGAGCAATGTATGTGGTGTAGTAGTGAGTATTAAGTTATATACAGAAGAATCGTAAGCGAGCAAAACCACCTATTGCGAAAAAGGGTAGTGGGTGTTGGTGTGGAAGTGTTTCCTTAAATTCTTGTTGTTGTGCCAAAAGGGAAGTGTGGTGAATTTATAAAATACACAGTAAAGCATCTCGCGTGTTGGTAATTGATAGTGTTTTAGCTCGGCTAGTGATTCGTGCTGCCGATTACCAATAGTGTATGCATACGCACATACATACATACGCATATCTCCAAAATAGTTGTTGGTTTGTTTAACTCCACTAACCAGCTGCATCCAGCGAACTGGTCCATGCGTGCAGATAATTAGCCAGCGTTTGCACATTCACGTCGTCAGAAGAACGTCAGCAGCTGACCGTGCTGGACCACAAACACGGCAGCAGCTCCAGCGACCCCATTGTGGGTAGTAAAATATTCTAATACCAAAAGAATAGTGTGAAGTGTTGGGAAAAGTAAAAAATATTTGCCAATTTTATTTTTGTTATGTGTCTTTTTTTTAAGCACTACACGGTGCACATATATCTGTACATTCGTAGACTGTGACTCAATTGTCAGTCAGTCATATTTTGTGTACTTACTGTTCCTCCTCGCTCGGGTCTTCACCTGCACATTGCGGACAGCTGTTGCGCGCTTGTCTGCTCGTGTGCGGCCACACACTCGTTAACGGTGTCTTTTCCTATACCGTCTGGTCGGCTGTGAGACAAGCCGCCTTGATATTGTAGACAGCGTGACGCCGAGACGTTGTTTGTGAGTTATGTCTGCGTTTATCAATGAAGAGTTTGAGTTGCGTTGCGTTTGTGTACGAGTGTAATTTATAAACTCATTAAAGTGCGCGTAAGGTAGACGGACGAGCTGGTGGCGTGTCTTGGAGCCTTAATCTGAACATCGTGCGCGTGGGCTGTCACTGATAAGCACCATAAGTAAGTGCGTTTGTGTATAGTCAATCAGAAAAGTGATATTTCACTGCGAAAAATTTTGCAAAAAAAAAAAAAAAAACAAACGAAGCCGAGAAACTAAACGTGAAGCACACTCTACCTTTTGCTTCAGCTACATTACCTATTGGTATGTCCAAGAGCACGCGTCGTTATGCAAATTAGTTAAATATAGCACTTATGTGTTCGCATAGACTCGAAATATTTTTTGTTTAGTAGCGAAATTGGCAAAGTGTGAATGAGGGACGAACCGTCAACCGACCGCCCAACCAGGTAAGCGCGTAGACAAGACATTTTTCAATTGCACACCGCGAGTGTTAAGTGCATCTCCACGTCGCACCGACTGCGGCCCTGTCTGTCGGTGGTACATGTCGGTGGTGTTTACATATTTCCTCACGTTGCCGGTTTGGTTATAACTTTTTGCGGTTCTTGGTAGAGTATCGAGCTCCCCAATGGGCAATTAACGTGCATTCGTGTTGTCATTTAATTAAAAATTAAAAATTCTACTAGAATACAAATTAGCCGCAGGGCTGCAGCTCGCTTACGTGAACGTCTGACGTCCCTGTTTGAAGGCAGCACGTGCTGTACGTGGACGCGAACGTTGTCGTTCCGAAGTAGTCAATGTCGTAGAGGCAAGTTGAAGCTCGGTAGCAGCCTTAAGCATAGTTTTGCGTGTTCGTTTGAACGATAAGCAGAAGCGCAGCAACAATAACAACACGTTATTTTAGAATATTGCTAATAGGAAGTATTGCAAGTGTTAATCGGTCGCGTGTGACTTGAATACGTGCAGACGACGTAAACGAGCTCACCTTATATTGCATGCAACACATCTAACTAAGCATAAAAGTCGTTAAAAATATACATATTCCTACATAACTAGTGAAGATTGTGCAATGTGCGCGTTTGTAAACATGTCGGCGACAATAGCCGTATTACCAGAGTCTCACAAACAACGTCACAGACGTGTTTTGCCTGCGCTACCAGCGCTCAGCTGCATCTGTGTAATTCTGCTCAACTTTATCGCTGCGGTCGCCGCTGCCTCGTCTGCCTCCTCGTCCGCTTCGAACAGTGATCCCTGCTATTTCGAAGGCAAACCACGCAAATGTCTGCCCAGTTTCGTGAATGCCGCCTATGGTAACCCTGTGCAGGCGTCAAGCGTTTGTGGTGCGAGTCGGCCGGAGCGCTTCTGCGAAATCAATCGTGATGGCACGCTCAGCGAATGTAGCATGTGTGACCATAGTAAGCCCGATGCGCGTTTTCCCGCTAGCGCATTAACTGATTTAAATAATCCCAATAATGTGACGTGTTGGCGTTCCGCAAGTGTGCCAGTGCCGGCCGATTTGGATGTTGCGCCGCCGGATAATGTTACGCTCACACTCTCGTTGGGCAAGAAATATGAGTTGACTTATGTGAGTTTGTCTTTCTGTCCGAAATCGCCACGTCCCGATTCGTTGGCTATCTACAAGAGTTCCGATTTTGGGCAGTCCTGGCAACCCTTTCAGTTTTATAGCTCGCAGTGTTTGAAATTCTATGGACGTCCGGATCGCGCCAAGATCAGCAAATTCAATGAGCAGGAGGCTCGCTGCATTGATTCACATCGTGACGGCACCACCAACCGGTTTGCTTTCAACACGCTCGAAGGTCGACCCTCGGCCAATGACTTGGACGCGTCGTTGGTGTTGCAAGATTGGGTTACCGCCACCGATATACGTGTCGTTTTCCATCGGCTTGAGTTGCCACGTGAACTTGCAGCAACGCAGGCAAAGGATGCCGCCAAGCCAGATGCCAATAGTTTTAGCGATGAGATGGGCAGCAGTCAGGAGGATGCCACAGATGAAGAGGAGGAAGATGATGAGTATGACTACAATGCGCAAGGCAATGATAGCACATACGAGGATGAGGAATATGCTGCAGAGCCGAAAAAGCATTTGGAGTTGGATGACGATGATTTAGACTTGGACTATCCAAACGATGGCGGCATCAGTATTGTGCCAGAGGTCAAGCGTTATAACAACAAACCTAAACTATCGGCATATGAAAAACATTATCAGGCTAAATCTGCGCTTGCTGCCGCCGCAGCGGCTGCGGTCGCGAGCACTACAAAGACGGCCACCACTGGTACCACAACGGCGGCAAACAAGCATGCTGTGGTCGGTGTGGATGGTGGTAAAACCGCAACAACTAAGCCTAGCGCTAAGGAACTATTTGCCATTTCGCAACATTATGCCGTCTCCGATTTTGCGGTTGGCGGACGTTGCAAGTGTAATGGGCATGCCTCGGAGTGTGTAGCCACTGTGGGTCCAAATGAAGCTCTGCCGCACATCTACGGCACTGGCGATGACTTTGATGGCACTACGGGTGCTGGTGCGATGCTCGGACACAATAATAACAAAAATAATATTAACAATGCCAATGCGAATGTGAATGTCAAGTTGACAATGACGTGCGCTTGTAAGCACAACACAGCCGGACCGGAATGCGAACGTTGTAAGCCGTTCTACTTCGATCGTCCATGGGGACGTGCAACGGACACCGACGCCAATGAATGCAAAAGTAAGTGGAAACCTCTTTTTTACGCTTTCGCCTCACTACCCCTACTCCTCTCTATGCATGTATGACTATGAATAAATTCTTCGATAGCCAATGCATGCCGATGGTTAGATGAATGGGCTCACAAGTTGCTCCATTGGGATGGGCCTGTGTGCTTACATATGTGTATGTGTGTGGTGTACTAGGCCATAGCCTTTGTCCGTATGTAGTTATGAGTATTTCAAGTGGAGTTTAGCTGGGTTCAAGTACTCGCGCTTGTGTGTGTATGTTCTGTCGGCATGTCTGTGGTTGAATTGAATTCAACTGGGAAGCTGTGTGTCATGAATGGCCAAATCGCTTGGCCTGCCTTAGTTTACTGTCCGCCAGATTGGCAATAGCAGAGACGGCAGATTGGCTATGAATAGTTGATGGTCGAGTGCTTGGCAAAGCGAACTGGTAAATCATTGCAGTGTAGGTAAGGTCGTTAAGGGCACACAGCGACGAGGTGCCTATTGTGGATGTAGCGGTTCTGTGCTTGCTCTTCCGGAAGTAGGCAAGTTCCGATTGCTTTTACTCTAGTGAGTTAGATTTACAGAGGGCAAATATATAAGAGCATAAATACTGAAAGCTCGTTCGTTTCGGGAATTCCGAAAACCACAGTGCGTATCATTCGGCAAAACATTCGGTTATAACAGTTCATATGTAGTGGAAATTGAAATAATTTCTGGGTTCTATAAAAAGTGGAGCACAAATAGACTTTCTCTTGATATTTTCCTAAAATAGTAGTACTCAGTTGACTTAACACTTTCAACCGTTCCAAAAGTTCAGAAATTGTATGTAAACAACTATGGGCCTCACACTAGGACTTCGGCTCCAACAAAGCACCGACTCGTTAAACTCTGAGCTTACGAATGATTTTACGCCTGCAATCTCGGTGGGCTTAAAACTAAGTAAAAAACCAACCGGATTCGATGTTAGGCTACCTTATGCAAACTTCTTGACGTTTATTGCTCTTGAAGAGTCATAACAGTGGTTCGTGTGTGATGTCAGTTCCGGTATGGCAGCTCCGAGTTTCGCTTCCGAGCTCTGTTTCTTTTTTTAAATCAGCTTCGCCACATCTCTAGTGCCTAAATGTACAAGAGAACGATGGCTACTTCTAGCAGGCGGCAGATACGAAAGACAATATTTAGTGGACACTCTGTGTTGGAAAATGTGAATTTTGTAAAATTTATGATGTGAAAATGTTCGATTAACCATTCGTTGTCCGCAGTCCGTCTCCTCTGGTCATTTGTGGTAAAGCGATTGACGCTCAAGGAGTTTCAGTTAGTTTTGTGGATCGAAGTTAATGGGCACTGTCGATACAAAAATGGGCGAAAAACTGATTAGCAGATTTCGGAACTGCAAACACAACAACACAGCGATGAGAGATGATGGCACCGCCTTTACTCGTACGTACATACGTAAATACATTGACTTATAAGTATTATTGGTTATGCTTGGGAATTTCGCTGTGCTTGTGTGTAGGTTGAAGTTTATTGCTTTTCCACTAGTCCACCGAAAAGCAGTGGGAGATACACGGGCACTGACACTGACCATATTCCAACGCTCCATTCACGATGAATGTCCACAGCTTGTTGCACGTATTCGCATACATTCTTTGTGCAAAGCTCGTTACCGTTATCATCAATGGCAAAATTCTTTCTTCTCTCTTCTCTTTCCGCACTTTTCTTTTTGCTGTCTTCTCTTCTCTCTGTTAACTGGGACATTCCCATTCAATAGCTCGTTTTGTATTATCAGCTTTTCATTATGCACAGCCAGACACACATATGTAGTTATGTACAAATATACATACATGCATACATAGATATAGTACGTAAGCATAAATACATGCCTACAAGTATGTATGCAAATTTTAAAATCACTTTTGTATGCTTATTTCGGATTAATATTGGAAATGTAAATCAACTTGTTGACTCAGGAGATTAATGTGGAATTTTTGGAGAGATTAAATGTTTGATTTTTGGTTTGCTAAGTAGCCAGAGACATAAATGCATACATGCATTTGCATATACATAGGTACATTTGAGCATTTTTGAGTGAAGTAAAAATTTTTAATGGGTATTGCTGATGGGCTTAAAGAGTTTTTAGCCTTAAAAATAGTGAGTTTAATTAAAAATCGATTTTATTTTTTGATAAAATCACAAATACGTATTTTGAAACATGTATACCCTTTCTTTGAAGAAAGCTGATTTTATATAAATTGTTCACTGCCTATGTCCCGTGGAAAACGAGATTTCTCTAAAAAATTTTATTTGCTTAGTCAAACTTCATCATTTTTGCTGGCATCAATTTCATGAATACATTAATTTAAATTGATTTTGCAAAACGATATTTATTTGCTTTGCTTAAAAATCGGTCTTTAAAGGGTTAAAGCCACTCTAGAGGGTTGAAAAATATGCTAATTTTTTTTTTTTAATTTATTGTAGTAAAATGAGAAAGTGAAAAGAATTTCTATTTGACAATTTCATTGAACATATATTGAAGTAAAAAAAAAAAATATACTTTAATCATTATTTTGCTATAAAATGGCGCTAATAAAGTAGTCCATTATTTAATTCATTTTTTTTTTTTGAAGGGAGTCCACGGGAGTACCGATTTCTTCTAAATGATGAGACCTAAAACGGAAAAGCAAACAGTTTTAAGATCAACAAACTAAGGTCCTTAGCAGAGGGTACGGATCGATTTTTAACTAATTTTTGTGAAAGCGGCATACTTTTTTTTTAAAGTGATTGATTTTTGACTAAAAAACACGCACTAAATTATTAAAAAACAAAGTATTCATTTTATCGAATAACAGCTACGTACTTCCGAAAAAAATGTATTTGTGGAGCTACCATCAAAATTTCAGACAAATCGATGCAATAGTGTTCGAATAAACTGCCATCCCAATTAGGAAAATGTGATTTTGAGAAAAACGCGTTTAAAGTGCGCGCTCTTAGGGAATGTAGCAACATAAAAAGTTCAGCTATTTGAAATATTTTTTCTTTTTGCTTTAAAGTCAATTGTATATCATTTCTGCAGCCCAAAGGTACCTTGTGAGCACAAAAACAAAAAATCCAAAATCAAATTTCCAAAATCCTAGAGTGGTTTTTAGGCGATAGCAATCTGCTTTAGAGGCTTCCAAAAATGCATTTTTTCTCTTAATACTATTCTAGAACTATTAAAGAATATGCCTTTAAAATTTCAGTGGCCTATAGCAGTCTTAGTGGCCGAACGTCGAGCAGATTTGAAATCTCGGACAGAACTTTGAAGTGCTTTGCTCGAGTTTTCATTTTGCTGGTGATAATAAATAGAATATATGCCATGTTCAATAAAATCAAAGTGACCTAGTCTCAGTAATAAATTATCTTCTATTTGAAATAAAGATGTTTAAAAAAATTATTATTTAAATAATTTTTTTTTGCAACTTGAAGTGAATTTTTGTTCTAAAAATGAATTATTTTTCAATTTTTCAATTTTTCAATTTTCCAATTTCTTCGATATTTTTTTAGTTCATATAGAAACCACGCCAATTAAAATGAAAAAAAAAAAAACAAAAAAATTCAACTGTTGCGATGCATCTGCACGACCTCCATCAGCGGTACCGTTTCACGAGTTCAGTCTGCAGCCGCTTCAGAAAATTCATCACAATATTAGAAAATTCTAATATTTTTTTATACTAAAAATTGTTTTTCAAAACTTAAATATAGTACAATATTGTCCGAAAATTTCGTTTACCACAATTATTTCCTTCCCTTTCAAACGATATGAATAGAAAATAGCTCATAGACTGGTTTTCCCACATCCTCCGCTTCCACCAGCCAGCGTTCGTAAAAGCGTCCAAACCTAGCGCCGACCCATCAGATTTTGTCATCGTCCATGCCGTCGCACCATATAGCAGGTCTGGAAAGATGCAGAGTTTGGTCGAAAGAGAACTTCAATTTTCATTTGCCTATTTAATTAAGTAGTTTGCGAACGGTAAGAGTGCTTTTGTGATGAATTTCCAGGCTTACATTGTTGGCGTTAATATTGGTTCCAAATGAAACGAAATTACTGGTTACGACTGTCAACAGCGAAGTGAGAGTCGAGTCGCGAGTTCGAAAGCTTTTTTTTTTTGTTGACAGGAGATATTTCGTGTTTCCCTCGTTTTCTCCAGCCTGGAGAAAGCTTAACTTCAGCTTAGTCAGCGGTATAAGCTTTGCGGGATACCAAACTGAGACACTGCAGCTAGAAGTAGTTTTTTTCGTGTTCTTGAAGTGATCGTGTATCCTCATAGGTCTTTTCCAAGTGGTCGTTTATTATCCCTTAAAAAAGATATTATGGTATCTTTCACGATAACTGGTTTTTCCAGAAGGAATTCCAACCGAGATGTCATATTATTCAATATATCCCTCATGTTAGCCAGTCTTGTAATTAAATAAAATTTCAGGTCTATGAAACCCTCTTATGCAATTTCCTCTTAAAGCTAATCTATGAAATCCATTAAGGAGATCTGATTGCGTTATATTCTGTGCAGCAGGTCAGGACCGTAAACAAAAATGGTACCAGACATTAGTTTGTGAAGTAACGTTTTTCTTTCGTCTACCTCTAAAACCTGGAAATCAAACAACTCCAAAATCGTCAGACAACGTGAAAGTTTTTGTTTATTATTTTGGATTACTAAACTCTGCTTAAAAGCAAACCAAAACTATTCCTATTGCGCGGACTTCTCTGGATATCTCCATACTCCAGTGGCCGGAATCACCAAGCTCTGACGAGGGGTTGTAGGTGAGTAACACCGAGAAACCTCATGCACAAGCTCTTCTTTTAAGGTCAATATAACCACTTCAGGCGTAAGCTTCTCGAGCTTTCACTGTATTTTTACTGAAAGCTTTCATTTCTTTCATCTTATTACGACATTCTGCAAACAAACAAAACAAGCAAAGCCAAATATTTACTCACCAGAGCATAGCAACCGCAATTTAACAGATCCAAAAAGAAGTAGA